GAACCCTGAGTGGGGCCTCCTGCCTCCATCCCTGAAGCCTTCCCCGCCCCTCCCCCACGCAGTTCCTGCTGCTCTTTAAGCCCCGGCCCCACCTCTGCCCTCGCTCCGAGGTCTTCCCTGCCCTCCTAGGGGTGACAAGGAGGCAAGCGCCTTCTCTGCACTGTCCCCACGGGATGTGGCCCACGATGGCCCGACCACACCTTTCATTGATTTGCTCAGCTTTCATTTAAACATCATTCTGTTCTTTAACCTGGAGCACTGCAGGGCAGGGGCCACATCTCGAAACCTGTGTCGCTTCTGTGCTGCCAAGCTTGGTACCCAGCAGGACAGTCACGTCCTAAGTATCTGCCCCTTTGCCGTCTGGGTGTGACACAGGTTTCTCTCCGTTGGCTCTGTGAGACTCTAGCAAATGGGTGGGGAGGAGCCATCGTTACCACTTCCTCCATCCGTCCTTCCGTCCATCCATCCATCCTTCCTTCCATTTACTCACTTTAAAGCTACTGTGTACCTACTATGTGCCAGGCACTGTGCCAGGTGCTGCAGAAACTAAGTCAAACCAGACCCAGTAAACTATTGACTCCAAGTCCGGTGAGTTAAGTGCTAAGGTAGAAGGCTGCCCGGTGTTCTGGGGAGCCCAGCAGAAACCATCTGTCAGGCTGGGAAGACTTCTTGGAGGAGGCGAAGCCTGAGCTGAGGTTTGAAGGCCGCAGGAGAGTTTTCGAGATGGAGAAGAGGAAGAATGTGAAGGAGCGACGGAAGCATTTAGGGAGCTGCGAGGCCCCCGGCCTCCATCGTCTCCTGGGATGGGGCCTCTCAGGTCCGGGCGGGCACTGGAATGGGCTCTCCAGCTACCTGCCCTCTGGCTACCCCGGCCTGGGGCATTCTGCTGAGTGAATCCCCTGAGGCCAGCACACAGGATGCTGTGTCCCAGTCCTTCTGTGGTGGCTTGCTACCCTGTCGAGCCCCAGGGGGTCCCGGTGTCCATGCAGTTCCCCACGAGAGGAGAAAAGCCACGTTGGATTATACATGACTAGACCTCATGGGAGCGTGAGCTCTGTGGGGCAGGGACTGTCCTCTGATTTACTGATGCTCTATCCCAGGGTCTAGAACAGTGCTCAGCGCATAGTAGGTCTCTAACAAATATCTGTTGAATGAGTGAATGTACTGCCTATTTAAAAAATTACAATGAAAGCCAGTGCAGGAATGCCCTTCTCGCCTTCCTGTGGGTGGTTTGGGATTGGGGCTCTAGGACAAACAACAGGGATTTCCCATCAGCAGCAAAGGGGGTCAATCCCTCCAGACCCCGGGGTGCAGGGCAGTGGGCATTACTCACAGGAGGAGGGGGAATTGGAGCTTGGAGGAGCTTGAACCCTTATATGCTGCAGATCACAGCAGGGGATGGCTTCCTTCAAGGCTGAGCAGTTTCCACGTAGACACTGGCGTCCTGGGGGATGGAGGTTCTGTGCAGCTGGGAAAGGGGGCTCAGAGCTGTGTCTGAGTACCCAGCCTGCCCTTGAGTTTGCAGAAGGAGCTGCATTATCACAGCTTTGAATCCCTGGCCAAGAGTCTCTTTACAGGGCCCCTCTCCCGCCCCCTCTACAGTGTCCCCCATCCCTCAAGCTGCCTACCCCAGGGCTCCTCAAGCGGCATCCCTCCCTTGCCATTGCTCATGGTGCTTTTTTCTCTCTCATTCTTTCAAGATTGGCTCGGGAGAGTGGGCCTCGGGAGAAGACCCCTAAATCTCTGGGTATGTACTCTCCCTGTGCACCCCCACTTGTCATTCAATCTTGGGTTCCTGGGCTGGGCCATGGGATCAGGCTAGAGGAGACCTGAGAGCTGTCACATTTCACAGACAGGGATGCTGATGTCATCTGTCACGCTACACTGGTGGCCCTGGCTTGTGCCAGTGTGCTGATGGGCACTGTGTGTGTAGCTTCATGACAACCCAGCTGAGAGGAGGTGTTGTCCCCATTTGATGAAGGGATAGTTGAGGCAAGACCTTCTCTTGGTCTCAGAGTGTGGAAGGCAGCCAGCCGGTCACCTCACACTCAGGTCTGCGTGGCTCCCAGGCCGGCGCTCCTGACACGTTGTGTGGCTGCCCCGGAACTGTTTTAAGCAAGTCGAGAGTACTCCCCGCCAGGCGGAGAGAGAAGTTAAACCACGTCCCACAAACCCCTAAGTCATCCAGAAGGTGTCAGTGTCAGTTATTCCCCATCGGGCCAACTGGGCTGGAAGGGGGTCAGGGAGCCAGGGTGGGGTGGGGGGACAGGCTGGAAGGGAGACCAGGGGCAAGGGTGGGAGGCTGAGGTGCAGACAGGCTTTAGACGGGGAGGGGGCTTCCCAACCCGATGCTCTAACCGGAAGCTGAGCCCTGGGCAGGTTAGCTGAGGGGACCTTGGCGGAGCACCCTGAGCCCGGCCACATGCCATGGGGTTGGAGGCAGCTGCTGTGCTGACCAGCAGGAGGGTGGACACCCAGGCCAGCTTCCCTGCTTCTCGTAAGCAGCTCAGCAGGTGGGCAGTTGGCGAGGGGCCGGCTCTTGGCCAAGAGGCTCCAGGGTCAGGATGGGCAGCTGGGCCCGAGAGGCAGGCCTGGCACAGAAGCCTGTGTGGCGGCTGGGACTCCCGCCTTCCCAGGCCGGGCTGCGGGGGGTGAGCTCAGGCAGTCCTGTGCGACGCACACTGGCACCCTTGTGGGGTTTGGGGCAGGAGATCCTGGCCTGTAACCACTCCCTTGTCTGCCTGACCAGGTCCCCACAGGCAGGCTGCTGGGACAGGCTTTCTACGGTGTCTCTTGGAGGTGTAGTGAGAAGGGGGATACAAATAGCAAAGTCCTTGAAGGACTCCCTGATCCTTGAGCTGTCAGCTGGGGGTAACATAACCCAATACATATAATGCCCTGGTACAAGGGGCTCATGGGGAATGGTCTGAAGCTGAGGGCTTCGCCTAACCTTGAGGCATTCCTGCAGTCCTTGCCCGGGTCAGCTGGCACCAGGACACCTGTGCCCTCTGCCCTGCCTCTTCCTTCTGGGCAGATGGAAGCCTCCCCCTCCCCCCGGTCAGTGATCCCTCTCCAGGGTCCTAGGTGCTCCTGGCATCAAGCAGAGGGAAGCTTCACAGGAGGCAGGGGCCCGGCAGAGAATCAGGGTGGCCTGGGAGCCCTGTGGGACCCCAAACTCAGACATCCTCTCCAGCCTCAGGCAGCCCCAGATGGGGGCCCCCATCCCAGCGAATCCCTGATTTGCAGGTTCACCCGAGGGAGGCGAGCTCCAAACTTTGTGAGCAGGAGAAACCGGTTAACATTTCTTTCATTAAAAGAAAGCTAATGAATATACCCCTACCCTGCTTCCTTAATAAGAAACGTACTTTTAAAATCATTTTGACTGAGAAAATACAGAAAGACAAAGAAAAAATATGGACCTGGTGCCATTTGGAAATGAATTTGTATTTTATCAATCACAAGAGCATCTGAAGGTGGCTCGGTTTCAGCTTTCCCATCTATAAAATGAGAGGATTGGATTAGCATTGTCCTCTGGTCCCTTCATGCTGGGCCCCAAGGGCAGGCTGGGTGTCAGAGGCTCAGACAGGTGCATGGGGATATAAAATGGGCAGTGGGCTCATTCCATTTTTTCCTGAGGTACATACCTCCCAGGTAAGATGGATTTATATTCATAGGAAATATCTTAAGCCATTTAGATAGCAGATCTGGTGACCCTGTTTCTTGCCCAGCCC